TTATGAAAATTAAAAGACATTCTAGTAGTATTGTTATGATTATTGTAACAACTAAAATTACCCATTTCTTTTTTTTCCAATTAAAAAAGCCATATTGTTAAAATGACTTTTCATTGAAAGTAAAATTTAAAAAAAAAAATTTTTTAATTTTTTTTTGTTTATTTGTTAAGGCAAAGGGAAATTATATTTTTTGAATTTTTCTATTACTGAGGATAAGGAAAGATTTGCTTATGCAGCTGTTCATAGGACTAATTGATATCTTTGGGAATTTTCCATAGTGGATATTTTCTGGAATTTTCCATGGTGGATATTTTCTGGAATTTACCATGGTGGATATTTTCTGGAATTTACCATGGTGGATATTTTCTGGAATTTACCATGGTGATTACTTTCCGGAATTTTCCACTGGAATTTTCCATAATGAATATTTTCTGGAATTTTCCATGCTGAAGCTATTAACGTTTTGTAGAAGAATAAGGCGGGAAAAACAGAGAGGAATAACCTGTATTTCATTCTCTTCTGAATTGCGTTCTGACCATCCTCCTAATAAAACCTCATGGCCAGGGTATTTTGGTTTCTCGGATTCCATATCAGTGATTCCTTCCAGGAGAATTAGCACTATCACATCGAATAAAAATAAAATTATCATCACCGATCCTTCCTTTATTGACATCATATCGTTTGACTTCTGTTTACTCAGTGGTCTTAATGGAAATTTTTGCGGAGAAAGGAAAATGGATCAATTTCTGCTATGTTTGCTATCCGGGATGTGTTACCGTTTATCCTATCGTGTTTTTACCCTACTGTATGGTGTTTTTTTTTTTTCCGGATAATTTTTGCCATAGATTGAAGGAGTATTCCAAATTTAATTAACATGGAACGACATTTACAGCAAATGTTGTGGAAGGATTAAATGACACTTTGCGAGTCACTGATTGGGATAGTTTGGCGATTAGCATACCATATCACTTCTGAAAATTAATTAATCTGACAGATTTGTTGGTCATTTGATAAATAACTGTGCAATCACCCAAATGCGTGAACACAAACTCACTAGCTCCATTTTTATAAACATTTTGCGCAATGAAAGTATAAGCGGAATGATACTGCGGTAGCTTTCCGACGGAAAAAGAACCAAGGTTTTGAACAACTGGGGCTACAAATTAAAGAGTTAATTTGACAAGTTAAATATGAATTGTGAGATGTACCGTTCATCTCAAAGAGATGAAGAATGGTTTTTGGTTTGTTTTCGTTTTTTCTTTTTCTACTCTTCCAAAAAGGATTCCACTCGGAAAGACTCAGCCATCCGTTTCGTTTATTGACATACCAGGAAAAATGACGCTTTTAGGAATACGATATTTATGACTACCTGCAATAAATAGAATCACAATTTTACCCACCCAAAAATTTTACTATCTACTTAATGTTAACATCTCTCAGATTTCAATTGAATTAGTATTACTTGTTGCTATAAAACATGTGCAAAATGCTCTGAATAATTCTGATGTGAGACTTTTTTTACTTAATATGTTCGGTATGGGTTGAATTTGCTTTAGATATCATTAAGTAAAGCTTAAATTAAATAAAGACAAAGAAATGAGACCCTTCTGTAAAACTTTCCTGATGCTTTTGGTAGGAAAAAAAGGAATAAGAGAATCAGGAGATATCCTAAGCAGCATTAATGTTCTATGAAAATGGTTAAAGCACATAAAGTTCCTTCCTTGAAAAATTTTTAGATTTTTTTTCTTTTCGATGCATAATGTCAGTTTGTTTCACAAACATTTATAAATTCTTTGTAAGGCATGAAAACATGCAATTGATTAATAATATTGATAACAATAAGAAGAGTGAAGCTGATTGATTACAAATTTGTGACTACATTAAAACTTATAGTTTAAAGATTTTACTACATTAAAAGTGACAGTTTGAAGATTTTTCCGATACGAAATTATTAAGCGTTTCTGTCGCATCGTTTATGAAATTAAATGAGTACAGCGAATTGTGATAATTCAGCTGCTCCTCTAATTAAACGAAAAAATTTAGCCAATCTTTTTGCGTTTGGTAAGCTTGCATGAAATATATGTACTAATCGATCCTTTTTATTACTAAAAATTCGATGCGATTTTGATAAAAAGAATGATATCCCTGATCTTTGACTTGAGGATAAACTTTAGAAGTGTCAATGTCTCAGAAGTTTATGAAAATAAATGAACCAAAATTCCTAATTCTCCAAGAACTCGAAGTCCATACAGTAATAACAAAAAGTTTTCGCAACACTTAACAATTCGAAATCAATCCATCATTTTATTTTAGACTCCTTTCACTAATTCCCTACCTATCAATTTCAATAACATTTTTTGACGTTATCTAAAAGAACCTGGCTATTCTAATGATCCTATCCCTATCAATCGAAATCTCTTAAATGTCGTACCCAACATGGACGATATTTTGAGTGGACTAATTACAATAATAATATGGCAGTTCACCTTAACACAGATGATTGCAATGATATTCTAATACAAGTAGACGATCGGATCTAAAATGGCTCAAGTGTCATAAGTGTCACAGATCGCTTATCGATTATGTAAACAACATACTTCTTTTCCTTTATTTCATAATTGATCATAAAAAATGAGTAACACTACAGTAAACAATGTAAACAAACCAATACAATCTCTCAATTAGCGCTTCTGTATATACAATGTCGCTAGGTTGTTTTTTACTTGACAGAAAGGTTGCAAAAGAAAAACACAAATGGAGGAGATCTTTTGAAGAAAGTGGTATAGTTCAGAATATTCTACAGTTTGGTAACCTCAAAAGACACGATAATTTAGGTAAAAATGAAAATACCAAACATGTATGGGAAGTTACAGGAACGTTGGAATAAAAAGAATTCATTCAATGCAAGCTAGTACAATTTTGCAAGAAAATCTTGCAACTTCTAGTGATTCGCTATGCACAACACTTTCAAAAAAAAATCTTCCGTTTTTTGCTATCATGAACCAAAAAAGTCAACCGGAAGAAATGGATTTACAGTAAGTTAAACCAGAAAAAAAAATGCTCGAATCTCTGCATCAGTCCGCAGTACTCACCAAAGCGTTTGGCTTTAAAAATTTTCACTTTCACGGATTCCATTTCAGAACAAAGCAAAACAATGAAAACACCAATGTACAGCGGAAAACCATTTCTGAAATCATTTATTTCACTTTCATTTTTTTAATTGCTCTCTGATGATTATTTCTAATCCTTCTCCATTTCTAATATTTGATTCATTTCGATGATATTCGGATAAATTATTTCGCAATAAAAAAAAGTAGTGAAAACATAGTAATTTTGAAGGAATAGCTAAGCTTTTTTTTGCAGATCAATTCATGTTTTACAAAGCAAATAGGATTTCTTTTGTCGTTTATTTTAAAAAGAATTATTTCCTTCATTTGTGAAGTTTTAAAGATTGTTGTGCAGACTATTCATTCCATTCACAAGGGATATATAATAATTCATCAAAGAACAGTGGTAACAGTAAAACATGAAAATTCATTCAATATACACAAAAACAAAACAGCCTGGTATATCCGTTAAAAGAAATCTAGAAAACAGAACTGTCGTCATCTAGATCCATGTCTACATCGTTTTGTTCCTGAAAAATAGCCCTTTTCAGTTCATGTCGAAATTTAACAATCCAACTTTGTTTTTCAAATGGAAACACTGAAAAACGCTTTAAAAATAAAAAGAAAATATTCAAAACTAAGAATTTTAGGAAAAATTAATAATCAAATGGATATCTAGTTCTCCATTAAATACACCAACTGAGAAATGGACCTCTATAAGCTCTACATCACCGTTTCCGTTTTCATCAGTTATTAGTCTCTCTTGTGAATCGTCAGCGGCGGAACCTTCTTCCACTTCTACTTCTTTTAGTTCATCACCCTCAAAATCTTATTATATTAACTACGAGGCAAATCAGAACTTAACTTTGAAAAGGGAATTAAAAGTATTTTTTCAGCAGATTTTCAAGAATGACGATTTTCAAACTGTTTAATTCTTTAAGGAGTGTCTAACAAAAACTGCTATTTAAGACTGGAAAAAGGGATCAAAAATACACATCTAAATTCCTGCTCTTCAACAATCCAATTTGAAATGCACTGTCGCAGTCAACACCAATCATCAGCTGATGAACTGCTCTAATAAACTGCTCCGACGTGGCCCTTAGCTGAGGTAGCAATTTTAACAATGACTTACATTTGGTGCTCTGTAAAAGAATTTAATTATATGAAGAGATTAAGAATTGTGGAGATGCTTCGATCATTTTAGGAACTAAGAAAATAAACATTCTGCAAGGAGAACCAAGTTCGGATCTAACTTGTTAAAAATGTGCATTAATTAAATCCATCTGTAATTAATTATATTCGGGCAAAAGTTTACTAATATCCAAACGGTACTGCCTATCACAACTGGTTATTGACAACATATATTCAGTTAACTATGTTTCATTTAAGCTAATTATAGCAAAGCAATGTGTTGAAAAAGCGAAACAACCTTCGCATGAGCACTCATATTCTGTAATGAACGATTACCAATTTGTACCGTCTTCAAAATCGCATTTGCTTCTGCACCATATCTCGCAAACCTTAAAACTGCCCGTGTATGACATACTATTGAAGGTATACATATGGCTACAAATTTGCTTATTTCCATAAAGACAGTTATGCCACGTAACTGAGTGATGGCTCCAAAAAAGAATGTTACACCATATGTCTCAATTTAACTGAAAATTAAAATCATAATCAAACCTCGATTCGTCTGACAGCAGATACATGAAAGAACTTTTAACGACAAAATTTTGTAAGAATGAACGTCCTTCACGTGCAGCAGTCAATAGCACACTAGCATTTCGCAGCTCCTAAATAATTTAATGGTTATAAGCTAGACGCCGAATTCGCTTGCTTGAAAAATGCGAATTTGTCCTACAGCAGAAGCAGTAATTGAAGATCTGGCGTTAAACATCTAAATTGATATACCAAACTTAGATTGAAGAAAGAAGTATGCCAAAAAAAGCTGGTATGGAATTTATTAGCATTTCAATGAACTTACCTGGTATTCGAAGCATGTGTCACAAACGGGTTAGATATTTAATCAAGGTCTTAAAAAAATCTCATGAAGATATTTCGTTCAGCTTTAGAATTTGAAAGATACCTTTACACGGATCAGCAGAGTTAATAAACAGAAACTACTAGCAGCAATCTTCCAAAATGCAAAGCATTCATCCTGCTGTAATTTGCCCTTCTCAATCATTTGCAATGACAAAACATTCCTGATAGTTTCATTCAGTGAACAGAATAAAACTTTATAAATGGAAGCAAAAGTAACTCTGAAACAAAGAAAAAACATACAGTAAGTTCACAAAAGTAATGCATTTACTTGCTATCAGCTGTTCAGTTATTGCTTGGAACTTTCAATGGATATGAAGTCTTCTACTCAGGAATGTTTTATGTGGCGGCGTACTTGCTAAAACAGGTAAAAAGAGATCCTTCATCCTCATTTAAATCCTTGTCGCGACACGGTTCCAGGGATGAAATCTTACTTCGTCGCCGTTCGTCTTCTGGGACTAATTCAGATATTTTGTTTGCTAACATCCACTGGATCGCAGAAAGCCGGTCATTTTGTTCCCGAAATGAAAGATACATCCTATAACACTCATTTTTGGTTCCAAAGAAATTTCTCAGCAGCTTCTAATTAAGTACGTTAGGTACGTGTAAATAAATAATATAGATAACTAATTCCTTTCATATTAAGTTGGTCGTTCGGTTCAGTGATATTAACTGCGCGAACTGAAGCTGACGTTTGATGAAAAAACAGTGGTATAAAAAAGACTACATATTTACCTTGTATGCAGTATTATAAATTAAAAAGAAAATTTCGATGACCTCAAAATGTTTGCAACCGCTTGATTAAGTGATGCACCTCTCACTGGTTTTTCTTCTACATCAGACCATTCTCTTTTCAAGTACGCAAGTGCTGATTTTGCTAAAAACTACTATTAGTGCACAGCTTTTGTTCAAACAGTTCCAGTCTTTTCATAATTTCTTATAGAAGTTGAAATTCAAATGGGCAACTGGAAGCTGGAGTCTGCCATTTTATAAGTACCATTTAATTTTCAACACTTACCAACTTTAGGTTTCTGTCGTGTGTTAGTGAAATCACAGGAAAGTAACTGAAGTAAAGAAACAGCACAATCCAGTGTAGGGACGATCTCGGAAATACTTATAAAGTAGCTCGAAACAATGTCCTAAAAAACAGGTCCGGATGTAGTAAAACAAATGGGACCTCTGCTGCTCTCGTCTTCCAAATTAATTTTAATTCCTGGTCAATTTAATTGGAGGATCGAAAAGTCTCGTAATTTATTTTAATTAAGGAACCAAATTATGAATAGAAACCTCTATGTCATCCACCCCCCGTGTATCCTCAACAACTCCAACATCAATCATCGTTCTTTCCAAGTTCTCCATAACCGATTTTCGACGTTCGATTTTTAAATGATGAGATCGCCCTTCCTCTTCTGAATCATCTCTGGATACTTTCATAAAGTCTTGGCTGAAAATAACCATCTCATTTCTAACTAGCAATTCAAACAATCTATCATGAGTTATACCAAAAATCATTTCATAAATAGTAAAAATGAAGAATTAAAGGTTAAACATCAGTTTACGGCTCTGCCTTACCAATGTTGTAAAACAGTAAACCAAAATTTGACGTAAAAAAACTTACGATGAAAATATATTATAGAAAACGACCAGTGACGAATGCATGAGAGCGCTCATGTCAACGTAATAGGAGCGTTTGGTAACATCGAAGACGACGGATGTATCTTGAAGACTTTTGAAATAGTCCACTGCACCATGTAAAATAACGAATAAGGTTGAGATAACGGACTGAACTGAATGCCAAATTATCTTTGGATTTCCACTCTCCAAAAATTTTTTTGTGGTAGTTTTTCGGGCTGCCTAAACAATGTAGCACAAAATTGACTTATGTTAAAATTTAACAAATTTAAAATGAACTGAACAAATTTGAAAGAGTGTAGTGGAAAAATCTGTGGGTCGCAGATAAGGAAGAAACATTACCAGATCGATATTTGCAAGAAGTAGCAAGATATAAGTAGAACTAAATTCTAAAAACAAAGATGCTAAAGTTTATGCAGTTATATTGTAACTGCAAAAATTGGCAGATAACACCAACCTACCAGCTAATTTGGTCGCAAATGAGCTCCTGGGACAAACATTTTGCTATACAGTGATACCTACTAAAACCCAATAAAACTTGTCTAAAAAAAAATTGAAAATAAATAATTCGAAATTATACCGTAGAAATTAACAATTTAAATAAGTTTTAAAAAAACATTTGAAGTAACGCTTTTGACGAGAGACTTAACTTATCGATGATCTTAGCAATGAGAAAAAGACCAACGATAAAAAAATCATACTTGTTAATATTTCTGTATTATTATCGTAAACGTACCAATAAGAAAGATATTTTTTTGTTCTTGTCCCTTTTAGGTAAAAGTTCTTCTAACAGCTTGCCCAAAGCTTCTAGTAAAAACGTTGTTTGTTTTCTCTTCTTTGGCAACAGCTGAAATACGATATTATCTGAATGAATGAGCAAAAGATTACGTCCAATACGACTAAATACACTCAATTTTTAAATTCCATGTCTCAAAAGGGCAATGGTGCTTAACACGTAAGTCATAAGTAATCTATAACATCTAATCCACAATATGAACAGTTTTGCTGAAGAAGTGTGCAGAAAATAAGGCAAAATTCAGTGCGGCAATAGGAAGGTTTATTCTTCTTTCATTTCAAAATTTGTTAGATTAGATCATAGCCAGCGAATGAATATAACGTTAATTAAAGATTAAAAAACTTGGGAAAGCAAGTTGGAACTTACTTCAATCAAATGAATGACAGCAGCAAAACTAAGTGGCATGAAAAAAGATAACAACTGGGACTCGGCAACTAGCCTCTGTCGGCCCAAATTTTTAGTCATCGTCCGTCTGAGTTGTTCAATTTCGACAATTTTAGCTTTGTTAATCTCCGTTTGAGTGGCATCCCTTTGTAAACCTTTCCTCTACAATATACATCAAGATTACCAGCTCAGTTTTTTTTTTTTTTGAGAAAATCTTTTTACACTCCTGACCAAAAAATTAGAAAATTATCCGTCACTCGTTGTCCCTCATTGCCGCAAGCAGTGATCATGCCACTATCCACTGAATCAATGAAATCCATACTAAGAATTGCCTAGGTCAAATCCCGCACTGATAAGTTTTTAATGCTCTATAATTATGATTCTTAAGTCTGGATAAGATATGCCGAGTCATTTATCAGCATGAATGTAACGGTAAGATTTCCTAAATTTACGTTTTCCTGATCCTCCGTTTCATTTAACTTGTTCTCTTCGTCATCCATATATTTTGTTCCATTTTCACTTTCATTAATTTCTCTTTCATCACTGACTGTATTTTTCCGTTTTTTGGACGATGGTTTTTTAGGAATATCGTAAAACACTATTAATTCGGTTTGTTCAAAACCCAACACACGTGGCATCCTATATTCTCCGATTTCTAGAATAACTTTTAAACCAAACTGTTGACAACATTAATTGAAACAGAATAATGAGACAAACAACAAAAAGAAAAGATAGATTCCAATAGAAAATCTGCAATATTTTTCCAATTTCTATAACTGCTGTACTATGTTCGTGACCGGGAAAAGTTTCTAATCTATTATAACATGTCCTCGATGTATATATCACTTTACAACATTGTTCATTCAACTGTGCTGCGTGAGATGCTTCACAAAATTCTTATTCATGCCTAACCTTTTTATCCGAAAACACACAAGCAATCACTTCCCTTCCATTATGGAAGTGAAGCGACAGCTTGTGTGTTTTTGGATAAAATAAAATTTATTTCGAAACATATTCCAAGATTTTATTCCGAAAGACCTCGATTTAACTAACTTTGAATGGTGTACTTCAGGCTTTTCTGGCACTCCATCATTAATGCAAATTTTTTGCGTAATATAGCATGGATATCTTCTATATCCGTCTCGCATATCCTATTGCTGCTTACAGTAAACGTATTTAGCATCTAAAATTTGTTTTGTAGTTGGCAAAGTTTATGGCATGGTAGAAGTAAAAGTCGATTGAAAATCAAGAATAACAAACTCTGCAACACTGCAACCTCGACTCAAAAACCCTAATGTCTATCGTATGCAGAGCTTAAGATCAGCACAGCAACTTGAAAAAATTAAATTAGACGATTTTCGCTTCTATTTGAATTTGGGTACTACACCAAAAATCATGTGTACAATTGGTTTTGATACCAATACTCCTAGTTTAAGTACTGTCTTTGTGACCATTTCTATTCGTGGGACAGCTAAGATTTTTTTTTTTATTAATTAGGGGACTTTTTTGGTTGGAATCAAAGAATCTAATCATTATGAAAGAAATTATAACTTTGTTTTCTGTCTATGGTTGAGGAATCAGAAATAGTGAGCGCTGTTAGTTCGGATTTTTCATGACGCTCATTACATGGGTTATTTCGGCTCAAAACTGCGTGCTGATTCAAACTTGGGATCATCGAATCGAGCGATCATTTACTGAATCGTGCTGTGGTCAACTTATCCATTGTCACAACAGATTAGAAAAAACTAACCAGACGGATCCACTGAATACAGAAAAAGAAAATGTCACAATTTGTAATTCTGCTCTGTTTGTCTTTCGTTTCCAGGTTGACTTCAACCATTGAAATATTCGCTTCTGCAAAATCACCTTTAATTATCGTTTTTGTAATGATTTCACATATTTCTTATGAAAAAAAGGAAGAAAAAGGAAATCTGCTTTTGACGCCTAACTTTATCTAGAAGAGATTTATTCAAGCCAATCTAAAGTATTTTGCATCTTAACAGAACTTTTAAAGGAATAATGATTGAAGTTACGTATTGTTTACCTAATATAAAGCGAAGTTCCACAAGAAAACCATCATTGTGTTGTTTGTTGGCCCATAAATACTTCAACTTAGTGAGCGCTAAAAGAAGTTGGAAATGAGCAATTGGTTCAAAAATCCCACTTTCTGAATCGGGTATTTTCGAGGAATGTTTCACCAACTCGCTTAAACAAAGCCATTCGTTATGTAATGAATTGCTATAGCGTTCATCCTCCAAGCGGCTGAAATGTGCTCTAGTAAATTTCCCAGCCTCATGATTATAAAGATAAAATTTTGTCTACAAATTAGAACAGCACAGTTTGGAACTGCAAAGTCTGGATGAACTGACTTTTGATCCTTAATGTAACATAAACCCGATCCAAATGGCTAAGATACTTTTATTTCCTTTTTACATATAAAACTGTAATATATTAGAGCAAATTAATATCAAATCACGCATATGTTTGAAATAATATTGAAACATATCTACATTACGTCTTTTAAAAACAATTACCACTGTGTAGAATTTCGTTCACATCGTGTTAAGTAATTCCGTCTGAATTCCAAACACAGTCTTTCAGCCCAGACAACCTGAAATGAGTGAGATTTTATTGTGAGCAGAATCCATCACTGTGAACAAAGAAAAAACTTTGATGCTGTTATGACATACAAAAGTATACTTTAAGTTGAATAGAATGTAGTCTGGCTCGCATTAAAGAAACAATTAACGACTTGGAAAAGATTGCAATAATCTGTATTATGACTTTGTAAATCATATAACCAAATTTGACGAATCACAGTTGTTATAGCCTAATTTGAAGGTTTATTTAATTACAATGTAAATATAATTATTGACCAAAACAGTGCTGTGTCCAACTCCAGTACTCATATTCAGGATCCTTGCAAAATGTTGATAGAAACAAGTGCGCAAATAGGCGCTATGTTTTGTTCGTTCATCCAGTAATGTTAACTTTTGCTTGAGCATCTTTTCACGATCTTCGGCATTTAATCTATATGACAGTAACTTCTGTTTCAAATTAATAATGAACAATTTGCACTGCAACAGCAGAGCAGAAATACGCATTCCATGATACCATTATTTCTAACTTATGCAAGCCGCACGTAAGAAAGCGATATATTGAAATACAAAGAAATTGTGCTCTTCACCCTATGTCAGTTTAAATAACTACTATGATTTTCCGAAAACTTTGACTTTTTTTGGCAAGAACAGACTAATTTCTAAAAAGTCCTTCTATTCATCTCAAATACTGGTTAGAAAGATCACACAAAGATACCTGTTATTCATAAGATACTGCTGCAGCTGCATCAACACACCAAGAACCCCCCATACTTTTTCTTTTATCGAAGACGAGGATATCATTTGTTCAATTTCAAAATCCAATCCTTTATGCTGCATTAAAACGCGTTTCCATTAATCGGTTCCGAATGCATTTCAAATATATGAATTTCATTTTGTGAAGATAAAAACCAAAATATAGTAAAAATTGAGGAGCCACTGACTCATCATGTAGTTGGAAATGCAGAGGATGTTTACCGAATAGAATGTTACATTAACAAAAGTTGATGAGAAATGTTTCACAACTAAAAATCCAGAATATACTAGTTATCCCAATGATATGCACCAATACGGAGCTCCAAACCTACTTTTTCTGTAATTTGAGACTGTTCGGCGGTTCGCTCCACCGAAAGCAATATATTAAAAAACCGACATACATTGTCGAATGAAAAATTGATCAAACACGGTATTTTTTTCTGAAAAGAAGGTAAACGTAGAGGGAAAAAATTAACATTAAAAACATTGTTTTAGTTGGATTTAATGCATAAATTAGTCGCGTAGTCGTCGCTATTCCGATAGGGAGACGCATGTACACCCGCATCGGGAACTATTATTAATTGACAAAGCTGAGTTTATGGTCCACTCCAAAATTATTTCGAAATTGAAAAAGCCTGGGCTGTTCAAATCTGAAATTTGGCGCTTACACTAAGAACAAGAGAGAACTTTGCAAGTTCTTCATTGTGATTTTCTGCAATATCCTGCAACATTGAAAGCGTGGTGGTGATTTCTTCTTCTGTTCCATTCAAATGTTGAATAATATGATTGAAGACCTGAAAATTGGGCTTAATTTATGTGCACTTCTTGCTTTTTCATCAAAACATATTCAATGCTTTGAAAATCTCGACTTTTTATGCATTCAAAATTCATATCAAAAAGAGATTAAAGTAAATTATACCGCTGATTGCGCTGATGGAAGTTTTATAAACAGAGTTTTGTATCCATGGGCTCCAAAATGCATATAAATTGGCGCCGGAGACCACATCAGAATTTCGAAAAAATTACAGATTGGGCGGAAAAAGTGTTGAGTAAACTGAAATTCTTGAATCTTAAAGACTAAAATTTTTGGATCTCTTATGTTAAAAAGAATTCTTTTAAAAAACAAAAAATCAAATATGAATTATTAAACGACAGACATCTCATGAATTTTTCTTTCTCAGGGCCATAAATGATTTGAATCGCATCTAGTTCCTCGCACAATTCATGTTTTCACCGAGCTAAATACGAAAAACGATTATATATCAAAGCTATTAAAACTACGGAAGCACCTCAGTATATTCAAAAGCCAATGTAATGAGTTGCTCCAATTGAAAATGATGACCGCATAAAATCTGTTGTTTGAAGATACTATGGATTATACGGTTCCAGTTACTCACATCCATCAACGCAAAATAAAATAAAACATCAAAAAGAACCGGCACCTAAAATGACACATAAAGGATAAGTTTTAACCCTATAAGTTGTAGAAGTTAGTGTCCTAGTGTAATAAAATACAAGACAGAAATATCTCGACGCTACTCAACCGAACATGAATCGGCATGCCTCTTCATTTAGAACTAATCATTTTACACAAACAGTGAACGCAAAATATGTTTACCTGCAACTGGTTGCAAAATGCAGCCTTTAATTTTTATTTCAGGTATATCTTTCAAAAATGAACCTTTTTCGCAACTGGAACAAGATCCTCCTTAGGTTCGGCAATATCACTTCTTTCGTCGCTCCCATCATTTTGCTCCTGTTTTTCGGTGGTCAACGTAGCTATTGCATCTTTCCAGTAACAGCCATCACTGGTTTTCATCTTCTTTAATATTATTTCGAAAATTTCCGTTAGCACTTGGCCAACTGTTTTCTTACTGAAATCTGCACATGTGCTCGAAGATTGCAAAAGACTTTCCGGAAGATAGAAAAATAATGGAAATATTAAACGGAAAACAAGCATAAAACTTAAAAAAAGTTTTCAAAAAAGGAAAACAACAAAAAAAACATTTAGATATCCGAAACCAATAGAACAACTATCAAAACGTCATCTCAAAATCTGGTTATAGATGCATATAGAGGAGTAAAGTTACAGATGAGTAAAAGTTTATAGATGAATAAGAGTGTAATACCTGGTTCCCATTTCTGTACTTTTTAAGTTTTCTATCTGCAGATGTGTTCGAAGACTGCAGAGAATGTTCCGGAAGGCAAATTTCTCACTTCTTTGAATACTGCCCAAACAATATGTTACCAATTCCGGCAAAACTTCCATGTTTAATTCCATTAGATTTCGCAACATGTTTCCACGAATCTAAAAACTTATAACAGCCTATTTTCTAAGAGGCCATCTCCTAGAATATCCAACCAAGTTCAAAAGTTCACTACAAAATACAGTCGAAGCGAAGAAAAACATAGAGGTGAATACAGATATCCCAAATAAAAAAACAATGAAAACATGGGAAGAATAAACTGACGATCTAATCAGAGTTAATTTTGAAACGGAAATTACTTCATTTGTTGTCTGTTCATCAGTGCGAAGTAAAAGAAGTGTCTGGAGTATAGTGACTCGAAAGGCTAATAAATTGTCGCGAACTCTTCGCAGAAACATTTGTTGTAGATTATTTGCAGCATCTGCAAAGGGACGACATTCTTATGAAGTGAAAAACAAATGGACTTTTACAAGAAGCATGAATTGTCTCCACAGTACTATAAATTATGAGGAAGGTAACTAAGGAAGAAAACACAACGATACTCAAACTATAGCTCCTATTCATCATTATTAACACCCATCGGATGAAAGCCCTATTGATTCTGAGATTGTAACTCAGAAATTTAATAAATGAAATCCTTGAAAGAATAGACCTTGCTGAACGATGCGACTTGGTAGGATTTCCGGTAGAACTTGTATCAAAGCGTCACGTGGTGCACAATGCCAACTCTCCAAATCACAATCAAAAACTGAATTGAAAACGCGTTCGCAGTCATATATAGTATCCAAATAACGAAACTGTGCGATACAAGCAAGTGCAAGGCAGTCACTTTTCGTGCAATCACCAGTAACACTAAAATTTTGACCTTGAGTTGATTGAAAAGAACAAATATTCCACAAATTTTTTCTGCAGGAAATAAACGCGAAAATTTTGACAATAAAAACTCAGAAATACTCTTGAAATGCACTACAACTAACAAGTCCAATCAGCAGAGATACTTTCTCTATTAAACAGAAGTAACCTTAAACTATTTTAGTACTCCAACATCTTCAAACAAAAAAAAAGAACTACACGATCTACATGATGTAACATAATAGGTTGTATTTATGAATTTCACAATTTTACCTTTTTGCATAAGTCTCAATTTTTCGTAGTATCAAATCGAATGCGACAGTTTGTGATGATTTTGACATTAGCAGAGCCCGCATAAATGTATCCTATAAGCGTTTTCATAAAGAATCCAATGTTCACAATGACCGATAACTAGCGAAAAAGTTAATTATAAACGAACTAATAATAAGCGCTTGGTCAGCGTCCTTTAGGAAGTCCATCTGTTGTCTTATAGGAACGAAAGCTTTCGGTGATGAAAATTTCTCGGCACGTATGAAAATTTGAGTGAGAAGAGGTTACTAACCACATATCCCGCTTCGGTAGCGGAAGGCGACAAATACATTTTAAGTTTGACCTCTTCAACAATTTCTTCCTCGAAAAGATCAAAAAAACCTGCTCTTTTCTGCAAAGTTTTATAAGATAAATGTAAACGAAAAATTGTTAACAATAAACATAAGGAAAAAAAGTAAAGAAAACCATATGTAAAAGATGTATCAGTTATAAAATAATTCTCTTACACTGTCATCCTTGCAGTATGCATCCAATTTCTTTATCAGATCATGAAAACTATTTGCTGTAAAAAAAAGAATATATTAAAATATAGTATTATTAATTATTAACTGCAAATTATTATCATGACCACATTCATCACTGCAATTACTAATGCTAATGGTTATAGTGATCAAATGTGGGAAAAGAAGAGAAAATTCACGAGAAGGAAAAAGCAACTGTCCAGTAACCAAATCTAATGATCTAATGATCTAATGACAGTCAGGAATACACGCCACGAATACACGCCACATTTGTTGAGTTAACTTCAAGCAGTCCTCAGAACGAAACTTCCAAGAAGATTAAGTCTAACTTAGATATATTGATATTTCATCATCGCCAACTGTGCAGATTTCAACTCCCACTTCTTCCAACAAATTCTCGAACTCATTTCGCGCTGGTATTTTACTGATATTTAATTTACATACGTTCGCATTCTGCGATTGCGTATAACATCGATCAAGAGCTCGACGAAACTCCCTTTCATCGATTAAGGGATAATCATTTTCGAATGAATCATACTCCGTTGCTGATACTCGAGCTGGTGCTGAAATATAATTGGGATTTGTACAGAGATGAAATGACTAGGGAAATGATAGAGCCATCTGCAGTTACAACAAATAAATTCCAAATAAATTTTGCAATTAACAAATTAGATTCAGCCAAATTTAAACCAAAAGTAATTGTTCAAGTCAGAGCGCTAGATATTCAGAAAAATGATTTAATCCATTCTTTTAATTTAATTGAAAGTATTTTTGGTGCTCATAAACTATAATATGCAAATAGATAAATACAGATAAATCTACCACAAAACATATGAAGATAGTAATATTTCACTCACTATCACAAGCTATTGTTCTGTTTTATAGCTTGAGATTAGCGTGTGAATGGTGATAAACTAACCATTTATGAGAGGTGGCGTCGCGGGAACAGACTCAGAGCTATCCATTGGTGATCCATTCGAATCTTCTCCAGTTACCGATACATTTCCACCCTTCTTCCGTCGAAACATCGCCAACCTACTTTCTAATTATTGCTCTTTGAAATTGGAAAAATTGAATCGAAAAAATTGCAAGCACTCAAGAATTTCCATCACGAATGTATTTCAGCTGATTCCCGAAAGCATTCAAAATCTTATAAATACTTCTCTCATCCAAAATGTTTCCCATATAAATTTCAAACATAATCTATCGACCAATACCGCATTCCACGCTCCTTTAAAGATTAAAGAGAAACGGAAAGATGTTTCCGGCAAAGAAAGACCAACCATCAATTTTTTGAATGAATTTCCCGCTCAAAAGGCACCATGCAACCCATACCTTCCGGTGATCTCATTACTCTTCAGATACCTCTTAAATTTCATCACTATTTTGAAATGCTCTTCATTCTGATGTAAACAACCTTAATTTGTAGTATCTTCCCTTCCTTCTCATTTTTTATAATTTCATTCGACAAGAAATATCACTAGTAAACTTTAAAGCTTTTATCACAGTTATTAATAATGCAAGTCCAAAACGAAACAACTGCAAATCACAGAGAATTTGCATATTACATATCGATTCTTTTTTCATATCACCAACACTAATAGAAATGTATCTTTTAAGTCTGTTTAATATTTCCCATTTGCTTCTGCATTTCATAGGCATTTTCTAGCTGTATAAAACGAGTTAGCAGCAATGGTAATGGTACTGTCGATAAATGAAATAATGAATGTGAATCAATAATCCAATATAATGGAGCAAAATCTAAGACCTGAAATTGCCAATTAAATAAAATCTTGAACAAAATGAAATGAGATATTCGACTATTGGATTTCTTTGACCATTTCGGTACTACAGAAAGAATCACTGCGACTACAGAAGTTGAGTTTTTCATAGTTAAGTTATACAACATTTCCATTTATCAAGTCTATACTCTATGCTATGTAATTAGTTATCTGTAGTACAATCTCCTAATAAAGGAAAACGCATTTGATAGATTTGCCACACATAGCATAATTTAATAATGATGTGAAGCTTCCTAATGCAATATTTGAATGAAAATATTTAATGCTTAGATTGCTTCGTATTTCTTTCTACATTAATTCCAAAATTACGAAGGAAAACATATTTTCAGCAACTGAGATGATTAAGTTTTTTTATAAATGAAATCAGAAATTAAAAGTGCCATGCCTCCAACAGAACTGATAACAGGCCCCAGGTGACCACTACAGCTAAATATGGTAACGATCGTCTGCTCGAATGATCCCTAGACTTCCACTGCTTTGCTAACCATATATAGTAAATAATCGCCGTAAGGAGCGAACACGCAATACACATTTTCATATTGTAACCGTAGTCGAAGTATATCTATAATATATGATACTTCTCAAATGAAAATTTCCAAAGAGAATCTTCATATTCCAAGTGAAAGACAATCACTTGAATAATCAATCGATAGAACTACCTTAACTATGTATTTTTAAGATAAAATTTATCAAAAAGATTTTAAAAACATTTTGAAAGGGAAGAATTACTAACCGTAAGACTATATATATGATTTGTATACAGGTATAGAAAGATGATGAACAAAAGGAACCACCTAAAATTGAAATAAATTGCGACACTTCTCGACCCTAAAACAGCGGCGAACAAAGATGATCATTTTCGTTCACTATATTAGTTTCATTTAAATTGACAAATATAACTGGATAATTGGTAACAAAAAAAGTAATCGCTTACAAAATCCTTCCTTGGTGACAATTTTGAAATGATCTAATAGTAAATGAAATGCTAGTAAAAAGTGCAAATACAATAAATGCACATGCAGCGAAGTAGTCTAAATATTCAGTTAACCAAAAGTCGGCCCAATGGAAAATAGCTGAACATGTCCTGAAAGAGAATTTGATATTATCAAGAAATGTATGAAAGAGCTTAATCTAGACAATGCTCTGATGTTACTTAAAAAACATTTGTTAAGACACTGCTTGGAAATCAAAACTCATGAGAGGAAGTACAATATCAAGGTAGTAGCTCTCTTTAAAGAAGCAAGTGCCGTCCTAGTTCAATTCTTAAAAAATGAGTCTTTTTCGGTGAGGCTAACCAACTGATAAATCTTTCAACTTTCAATGTTCTTTAATCCGTTTTCAAACGTAAAAAGCATCTGTTTACCACATTACAATTCCAATTATTGAATAAGTAGCCCAAATAATTTTTAGACGAGCTGAATTGTAAAGACGTTTAACTGCACGATACATTGATAATGTCGTGAGTAAATTCAATATTGAAAATATGACGGAAGCAAATTCCTGGAAACACAGTGTAGTTTCGGAAAATGAAAGAACTATAAGTTCAAGAAAAGGATTCAAATGAAGAAAAGCAGTAGAAGTAAGAAAGAGAAAGATGTGAAGGAAAGAAAAGAGGAAAAACGACGAATATTCCTCGATAAGGTCAAATGAATCAAGAAAGATTAACCTGAACTGGAACAGGCGCAATGAATGGTAGCCAAATAGCTGAGAATGGCCATTTACCATAAAATTGTGGCACAGAAAGATGTAAAACATCGTTAAAATATTTCACAGTTTTCCATGTACAACTGTAACGACATCTGCAACTGACTTGTAAATTTTTAAAAATACAGCAGTAATCAAAAAAGTTCTTATAAAAACACTGTTCAAACAATGTTAGAATGCTATGTAATTCCGGGAAGCATGAAAGATACCTCGTAAGTTAAGCAGGAAAAGCACTAATCAAAAAAACAAATCTAACCTTCCTGTCAATACATCACCGCATAATTTATACTTACCTGAAACACTCGCCAAATATCCAACCAATTTCATCATATTTCCGTGGGCAGCCATGTTTCAATATACATGATTCCACACACGTCCGAAAGATCTGATGCCTATCGCCAGCTGATCCATCCGTTGGTTTTACCAATAATGTCAATGCAAATAGGCCACTTGTAGTTGCTACTACATCCATATATTTTCTTTCATGTATATGTTTGCAAGTTTTTTTCTCGTCTGCTTTAACCACTTTTTTTTTGTATGAGGTGATCGCATAACGTATCATGATAACGTTACAATAACGTCCGTATTATCAATATTTATTATTAATACCTACGACGTGTATAGCAAAACATATTTGAACAATCCCAAAACATATTTGAACAAAGAAATGTCTCCCCATCATGACTTACAATGGCCAAAAACGAGTATTTTTAATAAGTCGAGACATGTTTTCACAAAGGCATAACGTTACAGGCAAAGTTGCATCTTATGACTTCCCTTAATTTTGTGTATATTTGTGTGTTTATGGCCTGAATTCGAGCTTTCTGATCAATATTTCTAAGTTACGTGTAAACCAAGATAACTTTTCAAAGAAATGAAATTTAGAAATTTATTCCTTTACTCCTTTTTCAAACACAATCAATATAAAATTATAATGACAAAAGTAAGGGAAACAAACATTACAGCAAATTATTATTATTTTTTCTTCTATTCAACCGACTTTGCATCATTTTATCTATTTCACCACCACCCTTGATTCATCGGCATATTTCCATTAATATTTTAAAAAACTGAAAGTAACAACTACTCGTACACTATCCCTATCTGCCCAGAAACAAAGTTTAAGCCCTAATATTAATTTTCATTTGTTGAAAACAATTCTATAGTTGATAAGTTCCGATCCTAAATAATAATTAGAATATACATCCTAAAATAACTAACAGAAATATATTAAGGCAACTAGTACATTCAGGTACAAATTAAAATGACTATAATTTAGCATTTTACAAGGACGAAAGAGCACAATCTGTTTTTTTACCCTATCTAAAATTAGGCCAAAATATATCCTCAATGAGAGCATGCGAGTATAATCTCTGCAAAAAAAGTCTTCGATTCAAAACAAACATGGAAGCCTTTTTTTGCAAAATATTCTGACGTTCACATTTTCAGAACGTCAGAACTGTCACGTATACACTAAGAGATCAACTCTTGTTCAAGTTTACATTAATCTTCACTGCTCATAACAGCGAGAAGTGCCAAATATAAAAAAGAAAAACCCGAGCAGTGTAAATATGAAGTCATAATAACTCTTACAGCATTTGTAACTTAGACGGACAAATCGACGTTCCTTAGCAAAGGAAGAAAGCCCGTGAACTAACAGAATGATGTATCATATTTCTAGTAAGAACAGAAATCTTGTAAATAGCGATTTCGACCTAATTCTTCTCCAAATAGATGGTAATGGTGAGACACATAAGTAGTATTTCGATAAACAAATCCTTAAATTTCATTCGACTGAAAGCGATGTTATAGGCGAGGAAAAATTTTTATAAATAGATTTGACTGGGAAAAGTCTTTGCACTACCGATAAAGGATATAATAAATATAGTACTAAAAAGCGCTATGTACATGTTCTGGATCAGTAATGCCAACAGTAAGAAGGTAGAACAGCGAGGGTAATGGTACAAGAAGTATTGCAAACAAGGATGAAAGTGTTCCACTAGCTGTTACACGATCCAGAGTTAACGTTAAGATGGAGAAGCCAAAAAGAGCCATATGAATGATAAGGATAAAGAGATTACGCGGTTTGTGTATCATTTCGCAGTATAGTTTATATATCGACTTTTCTCGTTCAAGTGCCATATGGAGTGCATTCAAACCCAGGCTGCATACCAACGCTACATAACCAAAGCTATAGTAGAGTAGACCTGCCTGTAACACATTCACTACATTATCTGGTTAAGGTGTTAACACAGAACACATACGAATTAAGCTCATGAAAATCGAAAGAATAAAGAGTAAGAATTACTCAATCCGGATATCTCCTGAATTAAGAATTACTCAATCCGGATATCTCCTGAATTATGAAGTAAAAAGAATCGAAAAGATTAGAACAAAAGGTTTGGAACGGAGGATTTGCTGTGATGAAAACTGGGCTATTATATCGCGGATGACCAAAACCAAGCTTTAAAAAAATTGAAAGTCGAAAACTTACAAAAAGTGAATGAAAGAGGGCTATAAGTGGGATAGTAAAAAGTGTAGCATAGTACGGGTCAGTGGAGATACAGCTATTTCTGAATACTGTTAAATAAAGTATTGAGCGAAAAATAATCAAACACATCAAACAGAATGCCAAATAAATGAAAGGCAATGAATATCTGAAACGATCAGATTAATAACACCAGGCGTAGAATCTTATAAAACAAACATAGGAACTCGTAAACTCTAGATTCAGACTGGCGTATTCCGGTTGAGTGACCGGACCGAATCATCCTGCAGGAACCACTAATACAAAAAAGAAAAAAAGAAAAACACCAGTTTGGATCATGTCATTAAAACCACCGGATAACTTATTTTTATTGAACTAAGCAACTACTTTTTAAAATTTTCTTTTGAAAGAATAAAAACCTAATAATAATGAAATAGATATTACTTGAGCCGACAGAATCACTTCAAAACGATAAGCTTTGATCAAAAAAAAAAAAAAACTCACAGTGGAAAGACTATTTCCTGTGTACATCGCAAAATATGGGTGTGATTAACGATAGGATTGTAAAATACCGGATACCAATCGCGTAGCGAATTCTTAGTGCAACCGTAAAGAATCGGAGTACCACGTGGTGGCATCAGAAGAAGAGACAATAGGGCGGATAAGGCGCACTCCAACAAGCAACATAAATGCTGCAGAAATAAGTGCTGCCATGCACTAAAGATTGAGATTTTTTTTTAGTCTCAAAAAATGCTTTATAATATTATTCGCTTCTGACTTACTGAAAAATCAAACAAAAGATAAATGCTAAGTGCGTTAAACCTGAAAGAGTCATACAGATATGAAATATGTCCACAAATAATAAGTCAATCATGTCCAATCTGCCACAGAATGAGATATTAAAATTTAGGCTTTGCAATCCTATAATGTACAAGTAACTTGTGGCAATAAGCCTGTAATCAAATTTACGATAACTGAAAGAAGGTTAAGTGCTATAGTTGAGTTATGTTATTAACAATCTACTATTTTTTGTTTCAGAAATAATGTTAATGATATACAACCTCAAGATAATATCAGTAAAATACTGAAAATATGGAACTGATTAAATCATCAGACTTTGGAACGCTTAAAAGCATAAATAAAATATAAATGAAATCTATTCATGTATAGGAATATCGATAGCTCATGTTTAGCGCAATCAAAGATCGCTTCCCCTCACTATATGATCAGAATGAGAAACGAGGCCATATCATTTGTTTCTAAGGAATAATACATGAAATGCGTAAAGTACTGAATCTGTTGAAGACAATATCTGGTATTACTAAGACCGTACATTAAAAAATTGGATATTTTGTTACTTATTACTTTTGTATCATCGAAACTGCATATATTGTTTAGTTTAATGATGAGGGTCTGGATAGATCATGTGCTTTTCTTTTAGAGGAGGTTTCATTTATTGTAATTTTTTGTTATATCCCTTCCAAAAAAAATCATTGGATCAAGTTTTCACTTCCTACCTCGATTAATCAGTAATAAGAAAAAGGAACTTGTGATAAATCAGTTGAATTATACAAAATAGCACAGTTCACCTTTTCGGAGCAGCATACAACTGGACGAAGAACGAATTCAACAACAAGGGAACCAGAGCAATGAAAAGGAGATAAAGCCAATCATAAAGAGGTAAGAGATCATCACATGAAGAGCATAAGAACTTCTCGACACTTCGATGACCCCAGCTACAAGCCTGTAAGCATTTTAGCCATCTTAGATAATCTGTTCTATAAAGAGAGTTATAAACTATAACGTAATCCTCCTTTAAATTATCATTACCATTCTTGCATTGACAGCGATAAAGTGGAAATATAAAATGAGTACAACGCATTATATCCTATTACTGCTTGTCAGTTATAGCTTTCATCAATAAGCAAATAAATATTTAAATAAAATTCGGAGTAAAACAACGAAAATCCATTTCGATGAAATTCCAACTAAGCAGACCTGACAACTGGAATAAGTAACATTCCCAGATGACGAAGTGGTTGCCTGACGACCACAAAAGCCGGGGCAACTATTGACGGCAGCTAATCGTGACACCCCCGAGCCATCATCTACCATCTTATGTCATCCTGAAAATTGCAGTAATATACAGTAAATCAGTCGTTCTTATGGAACTTGAGACAAGCCATATGAGAGTTTGACGAAATTAATAGTCAGGGAAGGGAATTCTTCGTTCAGACTCGTACATGCGCAATGATCGATTAGGCATTTAACAAGTATCAATAGACCTGACTTGTACGGAAACATGTGACTTAGAATCCAGCTAACCTGGTTGTACGTTGTCATGAATCGCTGTGCTAGCAATACTTCGACAAACCCCCTCTACCATGCATCCCACAGAACCACAAACCGCGCCAAGCAACACTCCCGACCCTTTACCCGGATTTCAAGCAACATTCTATCGCCTCATCCTTTAAGTGAATCCTTCACTGCATTTTTGGCGGCCCAATGTGAAAACGTCGCGTCTACATTTCAGCACAGCAGTGAAACTTTAAACGCAAATTTATTACAGCATTAATCAGCGAACACAAGCAGTAGTATCACATTCACATGCAAACAAAGTTTTATAATAACAATCCAACTAGAATGAGGAGCACGGCTACATTACGTCAATGAGAGTTCTGTTTCGAACCATCAAAAGTTATGCCTGAAATTATCGAGAGTTTAACTCTGATGGAGGACTAATTCAGAACATGGATTTTAACAATAACTAAATAATGGACGGTATTTGGGTATGTTCAAAATAAAAGCATTGTCAAAGTATGACATTGAAATGATGAAAATGGAAACAACTGCATTTGATTATTCCAAATTTCGAGACATTGGAATAAAGAGATGACAGGAATGAGAACTTCCAATCTTCACAACAGCTTTGCTGTCGGTTATAAAGAACACCTATTTTCTGCCTTATCAAGTTGAAAAAAATCTATTATATTCTTCTATCACAAAATTTTTACGAAATCCGTCCACAAAATCTATTGTAAAATCAATGAAGCAGAGTAGAAGAAACAAAGAAGTTATTTAAATATCCAAAAAAAAGCAGAAAGCAAAAAGAACAACCTTTCGAATCCACAATGTTTGGGTATCCGTAGAGGATTTCTAAATCATTGCTTCATTCGTTTATTTTGTTGTCGTAGATGCAGGGAACTTTCTGAAGCTTTATCTGAACCCCTTCTTAAATCGTTCCAAATAAGGATTGTCGCTTTATCAGCTATTTCTGAACGTCCCAGCTCTTCCAACTCTAAGTCACCCTTAAAAAAGGAACTCTTAGAAGAATTCTGATATGTAAAATTTAGCGGTATCAATCCTTTACTCTCTGAATCATATTTTCCTTGAAACTGAATAATTTTCGCCAGAGCGGTTATCATTTGATTTTATTAAACGAATAAGAACTATAGAATGAGTTGTAAGGGAGATTCTGAATCCTACTAGCATTAAGAAGATTCTGAACAACAGTTCAAAACTACCAAATGTTGACACCATACTTTAAATACTTTAAAGTCGAGAACAAGTAGCTCTCTTAGAAGGTGTGAAATGTAAATTTGTAAACCCCAACTGGTACCGTTTCAGTGTACACGTCGGGTAAAGCAGATGGTCTCTTCGTCTCGTCCATCGGGAAAGTGCAGCTTAAGTTAGAGAGTGCGAAAAAACCAAAAAAGGCTTGCATCGTCCAATAAAGAGTAATTCCCATCAGGCACGTGAAATATGTAAATGTGATAATCAGTAAAGAAGAAATTATTGGATATTTGTGAAGGAAGATACGTAATAAACCGAGACGAATCTTGATCGAGAGTTTTCCTGATTCTACCTAAAATGAAATATAATTCCAATACCCAAAAACATATTTCAAATCCACTATCCTTTTAATTTTCGCAACTTCATTCAAAAATACCTCGACAAAACGATTCTCAAGTTGCACATAAAGTAGTGCAATGTTTGTTAGATCACTGGCAACTAAGCGATTCGTGAACGAGACTTCTAACTGGCGATCATTAAATATAGTTAGCAGTCCAAAGAGATATGCAGGAAAGAACAGTGTCCGACATGCCTGAAAGAAATTACAGATTACGGTATAACGGTTCTAATTACTAGTTCCTGTAATATCTGAAAATTTTGCAGTCTTAGATGCCCACCTTAGTGGTAGTAATACGCTGATCTTGTCTACCTATGTTTGAACCAATGTAACGCTACGAACTGAATTTAACATTTAACATCGCAGGAATGCGAATATAAAAGCATTAATGCATATCGTCGATTTATGTCAAACAATGGTACTTTTTCTAGAAGAAATGCCCTTTCAAACTAAAACGTATTTCCTCGAAGATGAAGTTGTGTTTAAAGGAGTTGTTGAGAATCAGACATGAAATGCACATATTAGTGCGGGAAATAAATCTAAGAGACGACTTATTTTTCATAACAGCCTATTTCTATTGGCAAATATGACTTCCAAGAATTCGAGAGAGAGAGGGATTACACTGATTTTTCAGGTAGAACAAGTACTCTCAAAAACAAATAATATTCGCTTCAGACAACTTTTATATTTAGGATTAATGCAATGTAGACATCAGTTTGCACTCATCCTGCTAACTGATCAATAACCTTCATCGGAGAAACAGATTCTAATTTGATTCCTAACTGGACGTCTGGAAAGATATCTTTTTTTCCGAATGACTTTTCGTGATGTAAAAAGTTATCTATCTTTATATGTATTTAGTTTGATGTGGGAATCAACTGTATGAGCAATACCAAATACATTCAATAATTAAGTGACTAAGCGATTAATGAAAAATGAACAGATTCTAATCTTCTTCAAAACCACTAAAGTTGTAGCTGCACAGTACTTGATTAATAATGATAATCGCAAATTTTTTTAAAGTGGAGTAGTTGGATGGGGAAATCTGATTTTTAAATTTTATTTAACAAATGACGAACCAAATTCCACCACCACTGAGCTATGCGATATATCACACCATGATGTATATTCGCAAAACATGACCTCCGAAATGTTCTTTTTATATTCAATTGGTCAACAAACTCAACAACAGCTTGAAAAACGCCAACATTTGAGATGATCGTTGATTCTGATAGGACAATTTCAATGCTAACTTCATAATTATCTCCTGGTGATAATTTTGGATTTTCCTGCAGATGGTAAAATGGAATTATTTCAATTTTAGCTACTACCTTCTCTCTGACTGCTGAATGATGAAAAACGACGAGCTTTTCCATCAATGAGTTTAGCTTTTCTTCCGATAGCTATTTTTCCTGAGATGTTAAAAAAAATGGCTTACCAATGAGAAATCTACCACAGCAGTGGGGAAAGAGCAAATGCCAGCAAGTTGTTCGCGACATGTCTCAAAATTGAAATGTAGTGGTATCGTGTATTCCACGAACGAAGGAAGAAGAACCTGTCTGAAAGATTAACACAAATTAAAATCAATTAAGCTTGATAAGATTAAAATAATAATAATATAAAAAACATAAAAGTAACACAAATCCTAATACATCATTAAAAAAACTGCATTCCGATATTACAAAAAGTTAAAAATAGGAAAAACATTAAATAAGACAAAAGTAAAACAAAAAATGAGCAAAAATAATGACTGCAGTAGAAAATATACAGAGCCGGAAAGAAATCTATAAAAGAAACAAATACATTACAAAACAAACTTTTAGCAGGTATCAATTCAAAAAACTCGAAAAGTACTAAATAAAAAGTGAAAAAACAGCCACCAAATTCCAATAGAATGGAATTTTAGTGTTGAAAACTAAAAGCTTAAGTTAATCTACACCTGCAGTAACTCACTGTGATAAGCACAACGGACCCCACGACATCTATAAGAAGTATTTATTGAAATAACTGCTTCAGTACAGTGCTTCGCCAGTACAAGAATCAGCAAATGAAGAACATTTACAGCATATGCCGGACTGTGACAGTATGAAAATATACAGAAAACAAAAAACATAGACCAACACCAAATAAATGAAATAAATCCAATAAAAGTTATAATAAATACGAAGGAAGAGACTATTCAAAATACAAAACAAGAGGATTTATATTCTTCATGAATACTGATGCGGGAAAAAAAATTTGTCGTGATGAAAAAAGGTAATCAAATAAAAAATTTCGTTTATAAAATACATTATAACAAAAAGTAATTACATGGGAACCCACAAAGAATTCCATACATGACCACCAAATTGAAATAAAATAGGAAGGTAATAAATATCATGAAAAATCACATTCATATCAGTAACACTTGAAATATACCTTTGAATCCACAAAGACAAATAAAAATATAAAAAGTACAGTTCAACATCATAAAAACTGAATTTTTTGATCAGAACTGAAAAAGCGTTTAGTCAGTTAGCATTGAGAGTAGAAAGCGTTTAGTCGCTTTCGGATTAACATTTATAACAGTGGCACTAAAGTAAATACGAGTATCAATATCTACATTTTTCCCTTTTCAAAGTACTTGACTAAATGATTGAAGACAATGCAAATGTTTCTTAAACTGCTCATAATGCCTAGCTGTAATGTAAATAGTAACCTGAGAAGGAAGGGTGAAGCAACAGATATGATAAAAGCGCCAAAAAATTGGAATATCACGATAATAATGTGATAAAATGTAAATCTGTCACGTATCCATGAACCGACCCTTTCCACCGGAAACATTCATCTATTCCTGCAATTGTAGCCAGATAATACGCTTTTAGTGATCTAATTACCGTGTCAGATGATAGGATCAGAAAGACTTGAAAATGACCTCAAAGCATCAAAATCGTTGTACCAATTTCCCTGGGGAATTATATTGTATGAAAAACTATATGTTTCTCTGGCATCCTATTCCAGTCTACCACCAATAATTATAATAAAAATAATAGTAATGATAAATCCGGTGAGTAAAATTATTGGAAGGGCCAGAATTCTGTAGCATTAGATACTCAACAATAATAATTGATAGTAAGCACAACAACTGTTAGTATTAATTAAAATAATAACAATAACAATAGTAGTAATGATAATAATAAATAATAATGAAGGCACTCTTTCCACTGTCACGTACACTAACTTAAACTTCCACTTGAAGTTAGTACTGAAACAGAAGAAAGTGACAGTTAGCTTCCTATGCGACATTCTTATTTAGTATTATTAGTAAGCTAGTAGACAAGGCGCTTTGCATGATTTATTTATTGAGAGGCAAACTGACTGAAGAGATCGAAAAGAATGTAACAGAAGGACTTACTACGGGCCGAATTGATACTGACCAATGCATGAAACAATCTCAACTGATATTTACAGAAATACAATGGCATGCAAAAGAATTATAGAACTTTAGGATTAAATGGAAGTCAAAAAGCTTTACGAGCGTGAACATTGCAAATTCTTGGAAATGGAAATTTTACGGATAAAAGTAAATGATTGCAACAGAAATGAGACTGCTAGAAGTGATAGGATTAGAAAGAAGACAAAATCAAGGAAGATGATCCCGTAAACTCTCGGTAGAGGAACGCATCAACATCAATCAACTGACCATCATTCATCCGAATCCCTGTCCACACCGGTTAGGAACATTGTGCAAATTCCCTGTTTCACAAATCTTATAGTGGAGGAAAGTTATGATAAGGTTGTTGGAGGAACAGATGGGTTTACCCTGACATATATCTTAAAAAGCGCAAGATACTTATTTCAATGGATACTTTGATGTTTGATTTATTGATTGATTGATTGACATTGATCTCATCCGTTTTTTTCTATGATCTTTGGAAAAAATTTGCTTATTTTTTTTAAAAATTAACTTTTTCTTCAAGATAAAATTTGATTAAATTATAGCGAATTTTGCTATTTAAATAATAAATTTAGTTTTCGGCATCAGTTTGTTATTTGATCATTTAAGCATTCCTTGCTATCATTAAACCACCGTTCAGTGGATTGGAATTCAGTCGTCGTCAAAAGATTATCAAAAATTTTTGAAAATTGAAAAGGGAAAAGTTAGGCGAAGAAATGGTAGAATTTGATGGTGGTCAATCGTTGTCGTCTTCGGTGTCAAAAACTATTGAAAATCAAAATCGTTTACCGCAAATTGATGATATTGTAAAATCGTCCAATCGTACCTATCATTTGATTGCTGTTTTAGGTGAGGGTGGATATGGAAAGGTATTTCATGCGATACAAAATGGCAAGTGAGTCATTAAAGGTCAAAATTAGTATTTTTCATGCTTCTCAAATTTCTCATTATAATCAATCAAATATTACAATATATATTTGAGCATAAGCTTTTTAAGTTCATAATTTTTTTTTTTTCTAAGCTGAATTTTTCATATTCATTCATTAATTTACAGTTTAGTTAGCACTAATTACCTGTTAGGAATAATTTTTTCTTGTTAGATTTCGAATATTTTTGTTATTGAAATATCGGATGCAACGCGTGTACGTTTGCGTATTTTGCTCAGATTAAAGTAATAGCATACATTACATTGCAATCATTTCTATTTTTAGAAGTTATGCATTGAAGGCAGAGAAGTATAGAAGTTCGATGCTTCATATTGAAATTGCCGTATTGAAGACAGCATTGAAAAGAGGAGCTGAGCATATCTGTGAATTGCATGATTATGTTGGTTTTTAAATTGTTGAATTTAAAACAAGGGAAATTGATTTTAACACTTTGTTATTATTTGTTTGTTTTTTTTTTCTGCTTCATTTTGGTCATTTGTTTTATTTATATTTTATTTATTACATGGTTCTTCTGTTTTGTCTATAATTATTCGTTTTGAATTGTCTAGGCCTCGTGGTTATTTATTTTTTGGTAATGGTCAGGTTTACAATTCTGTATTAACTATGCATGGTGTTTTAATAATTTTTGTTGTTATGCCTATTCTTTTTATTTACTGGAAATGGTAGGAGGAATGTATTAGTATGATAAAATGAAACAATTTTAAAATTTCAAAGATAATTTTTTGGAAGAGCAGCAAGTTATGGGTTTACTTTTGTTGTACATGAAAGATATTTTGAATAGAATGACTTTAAAATAATAATGATTACTGAATAGAGTAGAATTTGAAGCTTTAATGAAAATATTATTAGAATTGAGAATAGACTTTTTCATGTCATTTTCTGATAATAATCAACATTTTCATCTTCAGGGTGCAGTGAAACCAGACTTCGTCTTTATGGTAGTAACACTTTTGGGTAAGGACTTGTATAAATTACGTAACGAGCAACCCGACCGACATTTTTCAATCAGTTCTGCAGTTCGTGTTGGTATACATACTTGCAAGGCTATCGAAGAATTGCACAGGTAAATGAATCATGCGCAAAAGCCATATGTGATAAATCAAAATATGATGCTTTATTTAAACATTTTAAAATGTATTTTCTTCCCAATGTCAAAAACCTTGCATGGAGCTTCCAACTTATGTTGTAAGCTATAGTTTGTTTTTTTTTTTCTATTAATTCTGGAATGTTACCCAGTTAAGATACTATCGTCTAAGAAATAAAGTCTAAAATCTATTTTTGGAAACCAGCAATTATCTTGAGTGCATTTTAAAGCATTTTTCCTTTATCATTTCCGGTTTAAAATTCTCTTAATTTTTCGACATTAGCCAAACTTGAAATTAAAAAATCCAGCAGGTAAGCAACAATGCTTCTTTACGAATTAAATGCATGCCTATTAATACTTTCGCAACTTTTCTTCAGTTGCGCATTTCTTTCACGAGATATCAAACCTGGAAATTATGCGGTTGGATTGGAAATAAATAAACAACACAAAAGATTTTTCTTATTCGATTTTGGATTGGCACGAAGATATCTTGATAAAGTACAATTTGATCACATTGAACTTTGCTCATAAAGAACACATTTATAGGAATGATGTAATAAAATTAATTCAGACTTCACTAAATATAGCTTGACGTTGGTTAAAAATCTTATGCAACTAAAATTTCCTAATCATAAACAAAAACTGTTTTATTGTATCTGATGTGATCTTTTTGTTTGATTCTTTTCTGATTCTAATTCTATTTTTTATGACAAGAGATTTTATAACTTTTCAGTAAATTTTTAGTCAACAAAGCAGTTTACTTACAGAATGGAAAGCATCAGAAATCGAGAGGTGAAGTTGGTTGGCGCGGTACCACGCGATATGGCTCATTGAAAGCGCATCAAAAACAAGATTTAGGAAGACGGGATGATCTGGAATCTTGGTTTTACTGTTTGGTAGAAATTACTTGCGGTATGTTACCGTGGCGACATGTTGCTGGTTAGACTTTTGCTTGATTGCATTTCTGAGTCTAGATGATGGCTGAAGTATCAGGAGATGTATTATGCTATGTATTTGCTCATCGTGCAGGGTAGAATGTATTCATTCCATGGTACCTATTTCTTTACACTAATCTCCAAATCTCAAAATTCCTGCTCAATCTGATAAGTTGCAAATGAACTTTTTTATGAAATAATGAACAGCGAGGTTGCACAAGCCTTTCACAAAATGTTTATAACATAAAAAAATCACGTAACGCTTAAGATGGTCGAGAAAGCAGATTAGATAAGGAATTCGCTTAAGATGGTCGAGAAATGAGATTAGATAAGGAATTATGACTATTATTCTGTTCACTTTGGTTTCTATAAATTGCCGAAAGGAGGAAAGTTCGGGAGGAATAGGTTTCATTCTACAAACAAAAAAAAAGACTTCTATTTTTGAATGACTTCTGTCGTCGATTTTCTTCAGTCGTGACAAAAACTGAGGGTTCTTTCTGCTTCTTTAGTTGGTAGTACCTCAAACTTGGGTAATTAAACCTTTTATTACGAGAAAATTTATTAATACAACAATGAACTTGCAAATATGACACTGACACAACAAATTAATAACGAATACACAAGAACAAAAAAGACAAACCACGCCCGATACCTTATATCCAACCGACCTCAATGAAACACATTTGAAAAAAATGGATTAGTGCTCAGGACACTCCGCTTCTTCGACTGGGAGGGTCCTTGTACCGTTTTATGATTACAAGAATTAACATCCTCATGGAGCATCCATTGGTGTTCGGTTTTGTTAGAGTAAATGTAGGACGATATGAGCATATAAAACAAAGATGTCTGGCTTTCAAAAAAAAGGGGGATTATTGTCCCTTTGTTTCTACTCGCGATATCAGCGACAACTTCTTTGAGAAATGATTTGTAGGAATACCCTGATGAAAGCGAATAATTGGTCGAAAATCGAACTTATGAGATATGGGATAAGTAAAGATGTCTGTGAATGTTACCTGTGACTGATTAACATTTACGCTATAAATGCGCTATTTTCAATTGAAATTAACTATTATTCGTGGAAATTTTGAAGTTAATTTTAGAAGCAAAAGGGAAATTTTAAAGGAACCATGGGAAGGATGAGAAATAGTATGAATGAATGGAAAGAGAAAGGGGAGAGAGAAACCGATCGTCTAATTGAAATAAATTCAAAATTATGATGTTTTAGATCGTAATATTGCATATCAAGGTAAAGTGAAAGCGCGAAAGGAAGGACGAAAAGAATTCTTAGCAAACTGTCCGAAACAATATGACTTTATTATGGCACTTATTGATCGCTTGAGTTTTGCGGATCAACCGAATTACAATGATATATACAAGCTTCTGGATCAGGTTTCCTTTGATGCTTTCAAGTGATTGATTATCTCATTGCTAATTATAAGGAATTCTTCACTTAACATCAAGACAATTTCGAAATAACATTGAAGAGTACTGCTTTTTTTGGTACCTGTTGCGTAGGCTATTATGCTTTAGTTTAGTTTTGTTGTACCTTTTATGATAACGAGCAGGAAGTTTTGGTTGTTATTATCGAATGTAATAGTAATGGAGAGAGTTATTTTTGCAATCAACTATTTAAATGAAACCAACTTCTGAAATTTATACCCGGAGAATACACAGGTAAGGGAAGAACACAGTGTGCTGATGGACGCGTTGTATGATTGGGAGGAAGAGGAGACGACAACCCCGCAACAAATGGAAGGTGGGCAAGTAACAGAATAGAGTGAAAAAAATCTTCCAAACAAACTTAAATAATAGAAATTGAAGTTTATGTACAAATTTTGAACGTTCTTGTGAATGGTTAATACGAATAATAACGTGCTTTTGTTGGTTTAAAATTAGGTGGTATTTCTCACGGCTTTTTTACAATGTCATTTTTTAACGCACGTTTGACAGACTTGAAGTTTTTGACAGTATCACTGTAACATTATTTTCTCTACTTGACAACTAAAGTTGACGCAATGGGCATTCAAAATGTGGCATTGAATTTTCGCGGTGACGAAAACTCTTTCTTGTGAAGCATTCACAATCAATTACAATCCTTCCGTTTAATTTTTTTTTTTTTCGACATACGCTTATGATTGCCTGTAAGTTAATATGATGCATATCAGCCTTTTGACCTTTCCAATTCGGAAAGAATCAATATCTTTACTTTTCTATCACGTCATCATCCGTGTTAGGTTTTACGTTTACTTTTAAACACTATTGCATTAAGTTATTACTTCATCAATGCTACCCATCTTCCTCGTTAATTAACTCATTTTGCATTTCCTTTGGGAAAACCTTTAAATTAGTCTGATCAGTCCAACGCACAATAAATTAGCTATAGTTATTTTTTACAGGCGAAAATTTCTTATTACTTACACCACTCCTTGTTTTCTCAACAGCGCAACTATCGTATGTCTGGAGAAAGTTCTCTTAATCTTATTCTCTTAATTTGTTTTTTTAATGTTCCCTTACTTATTATCACCTCAGTTTTCTCCTCTTGGCATATGTCAGTTTTGCGGCTGCCAAGGCAATATTGAAACGAATTTATTTGCTTTAACTAAATGGGAAAGATAATAATTTGTGTGAAAAAAAAAAGTTGCCAAAGACTAATACCTAATTATTACAAGAAACTGTGTTGAGTGTTCTTTTAATCATGAATTGCTTTAATGATTGCAATACTTCTTTGCGCCATACGTTTTGAATTGAGCCGAAAAAGCTACCAAATAATCTGAACAACCATTTTAGAATTTGCTAGAAAAGTTAGACAGACATTGTGACACGAACGAAACTTTTGATTTGTCATTTATTTGCGGCGCTACGGGTTAGATGTCGTTGCTGGTTTGTTTTTTCTATGAATAAAATTTTGATAGAGCGTAATTTTACATTTCGTTAGGAGATTGGATAATAGAATAGGCTGACGATAGTCTCGATTAGTTTGATAAATACGCAATATCGTCTGTTCACTTTGCTCGAATCTAACAACAGAGAGTCTTATCATACTTCAACAAGCCAATAATATGCTTGATTAGCCAAGATCTAAGCTAAAAAAATATTTTCCAGGCTTAACAAGTATTTTACCGGTTCATGTTGCATGCCATGTTTCGATGTTGAAATCATTATTGCTTTCCTTTAAATTGATTCCGTTTCAGAGACGACTATGGGTATCAATACTGATGCACAAAATTGCTGTAACAAATATTGTTACTATGATTAGCTGGTGATGATATTTAATTTAATATGGACAAGAATCCGGCACCCGTGGTACTGGTTCACATTCATTAGTTGGCTCTCCGGTTATGATCAGAAACTAAATCATTACTGCAATATATGCGAAAAGTTAACAAGTGAACAGTATGATCGACCGTATATTAAAGATTTCGTTGGCTTGAACAAATTTGTTTGATCATAAAAATATCTATGAATATGTCGAATGGATGCAGAAATAATTGTTTTGCTTGTTTAAGCTCCGATATTACAATATTATTCATACATATAGACATTATTTTTTCACTCTTTGAATTATTTTCAAATTAGCTTTGTCATTTTTTTTTTT